AAATCCGTGACCTCTGGCCTACCGTGTCATGCAGGAAACCTATAAGAAACGACAATGCAAGGAGGTATGCACTAACAGTTATTGCCTCACCACTTTCTCTCACAATGCAAAGAACACCTTACACTCCTTAGAAATATTTGTGTGAATGACTCTTTAAATGTTTGCTCAAGGAGGTACAGCTTAACATATTTTCTTTACATTTATCGCCAGAATGTTCATTAGGGTTTTCACTTAAAAACATTTATGAAACAAACAACTGTCCTACTTCAGTACAGGAGCTAAGTGAGACACAGTGTAGTAATATATGACTAAGTGTGACGCCCCGACAGCTAAGCAGTTACCTTGAGAAAGAGTGATGAGTAAAGGTCATGGTGTAACCTTGAGTTGCTGGAAGTCAGCTAAAACTAAAAGCGGCAGTCACTTCACGTGGTTCAATGATCACACACAGATAATATGACTGCTCGCAGGAGGAAACGTGGTCTTTATTTCTGATTTTAGTGTGGAGGAGTCAGATCAGGCCTGAGGCCTGAGATCACAGCTTGTTGACATTGTTGTGTTGCATGAGGAGACATGTTTGTCGCATCTGATCTGCTGACTCGGCATACCTCTTCTTTAAGGTTGAGAGATGATTTCAAGAGGTGTTTGATTTTGTCATTTTAGGTGCTATGATTTATAATATAATCTAGCCCTCATTTATCTTAAAATGTAGATATTTGAGCTTAATTTGTTTACCCAATCTTAAGGATTAGCTGAACATCCAATCCAGGTCGACAAAGAGGATAAATCTTATCAATAAGTTTTGTTTAGTGTATTTAATCTCCCTGTTTAGATTTTGTCTAGCAACAAAACAAAAGTTCTTGCCTCAACATAAAAATAATCACATGGCACAACATGTTCTGCTTTTATCAGGGTGAGACGAGGCAGTTCTAACTCAAAGTCCCTTGAAACCCACAACGCCATAATTGTTAAAGCGTTTCAGAAATAACAGCTGTTATACAAAAAAAAAAACTTCCTCGTTTTATGCCAGTCTGACTGAGGCTGAAGAAGATTTAGTATTTTCCTTGAACAAAAGGCGTTTCGCTGAGTCACAAAAAGCAGAGTTTGAAAATTCACGAGGAGTCTGTCCCACATCCTGAAGAGCCGTCTACAAACACAGCTCATTGTAAACATTCATCTTTTCATCTGTGACGCCTCTGCAGTTACTTGTCTTACCGTTGCAACCCAATTAAGTTTGCACACGTCAACTACTCAAGAAACATGTTTAGTTTCCTTTCATCCTTTTCACTTTTACTAAAGTAATTTCTAAGACATTAACAAACTGATCAGGAGCTTTGATGAAAACGTTTCAAGTCAGAACTCATTTCTTTTCCAGACTTGCTTCCCTGTATCTCATTCTATCCAAGTTTGTCTGACTCCATTTTATTTGAAACACTATAAGAAAACACAAACTTCCCATATTGTGGCTTTTTTATTAATTAAATATTACTTTTTAATTGCCGGTGTACACCTGTATGTGTTCT